ATTTATCACCAAATGAGTCAAGTTCTTGTGAACATATACAACAACAATAACAGCACACTAAGTCTTATATCCTATTCTTGGGGATTGGTTGTATAAAAGATTAAATAAGGGAATCATGTTAGGTTCTAGTTTGAATTTTCTTATATCACTCATTTCTATCAACAACAACCTTTTCATTTAATTCTTTAACCATTATATCATTTTTTATTACTTATTTTCATGTCTTTCGTGGTCTACCTTTAGAGGTTTTGGTCTCTCATAGATCTAGAGACTTAATTTTTCTAACCAACGCATAATTAGATCTACGTTTCACATGTCCAAACTATTGTAAACGACGTTTTCTCTTTTTTTTTTTTTTCTGAAATCAAACTACCTTTAATTTTTTTCAAATCTTTTCATTTTTTATATTATCTCTTCTAATCTTACCACACATTTATCTAAGCATTATTATCTTCATTACGTTCATTTTTCTTTCATGTTGTTTCTTAGCAGCCCAACACTTAATTTCATATAACAATGTAGGCCTTACATTTATTTTATACAACTTTACTTTTAACTTTAAAGACATGTTTTGATCATACAACTAACCCGATGAACTTTACCATCTATGCTTGATATCCACTTCGATCTCAGTATCACTTTAAATAATCGATCCCAAATATTGACACTATTATTTTTTAGTATTACCTTACTATCCAACTTAATCACATTAGTACCTATTTCTTTATGATTGCTAAACTTGCATTTCATATATTTAGTTTTAGATCTACTTAATTTAAAACCTCGAGACTCTAATGTACTCCTCCATAATTCTAATTTTGCATTAAGATCATAACTAGTTTTAGCAATTAAGACTATATTATCAACAAATAACATGTACCATGGTACTTTATTTTGGATACGTTTAGTAAGCTTGTCCATAACTAATGCAAAAAGGAATGAACTTAGTGCTAAGCCTTGATGTAATCATAAGGTAATGGGAAAGCTATATGCCATGGCTCTAATCGTCTTCACATTCATTACAACTCCCTTATACATATTTTAACTGTGCTGATGTACTTTAAGAAGACTTTTTTCTTCATTAAGGCCCATCAAAGCACCTTTAAAAATATTATTGTATACTTTCTCCAAGTCGATGAATGTCATATGTAGATATTTTTTCCTCACTCGAAAACCTTCTAACAAAAGCTTCAAAATCTAGATCGCTTCTGTTATAGAGTGTTCTGGCATAAATCCAAATTGATTTTCAAAAATAGTGACCTTATGTCGCAACTTACATTCAATTACTCTCTCTCAAAGTTTCATAGTATATTTATAAGTTTTATTTTTTGATAGTTTGAATATTTATCGCCTTTATTCTTGTATAAAGGCACAAGAGTGCTCTTCCTCCATTCTTCTAGCATCTTGTGAGTATGTTAAATTTTTTTAAAAAGATCCATCAACCATCTTATCTGCTAAATTTTGAAACATATATAATAATAAAATTAAAAAGTGTGAGCTAACTTGTATAGTAGCCTCTAGGATTTTCGTTAGGTGCATAGATTTTGCCTAATTGAGTTCATAATGTTTTATAAAATGCACTTTGTACTAATAGATAGAAAGAAAACCTAAAAGAGCCTCTATAAACAATGTCTTACAATAACTTTGTTTAATTTTTTTAGTGATGTTATGCTCTTTATTCTTAGCAATTTAGTTTTATGAGTTGCTTGCTTACTTTGTCTTGCCAAAAATGGACATACCCATATGACCAAGATCTCTTGGCCTTTTGGATAGTTATTGTTTACAGGCTTTTTCCAAAAAATAGCTTAACTAATACTATCCCAAATGCATAAGTATCAACTTTGTCATTTACTTTGCCATACATGAAGTACTTAAAACCCAAATAGTTGGAGCAAATTGTAATATTATAATTAATCAATATGTTGTAACAATCTTTTTCCCAATTAATAAGTTGTACCAATATTTTTCCCAAGAAAATTTTAAATTATTTTAAGTACTCTTTAAGAAATTTTCATTTTTGTACATTATACTACCCCATGAAATGAAAAAAACATAGTTAGAAATAGTAAGCTAGAGTATTGGAAATGAAAATTACATACACAAAGGTTCCTGTAATATATGTGCATGTTATAAGTGAAAAAGACATTTATGCCCATTTAGTAAATCCAAAATCTGAAAGTTGCATAAATCAAACAGAATACATGAAAATCTTTTTATGAAACATTTTAAAAATTGAAAGCAAAAAGACTTGGAAGTTAAAATTTATAGATACCTATGGCTTAAAATCATTTGATAATATAGAGATAATCTCAAGCCTTTACTACCCCTAATGCAATCTTGTATATTTTACTCTGACCCAAAGCACTAGGAATTTTATAAGCAACATTATAAGCTCTAACTCTTTTCAATCTAATAGCAAGAATGTTATGCATTTACTTACCATGAAAGTTCGTATGGATAAAAAATCATAAACTAAGAGTAGATTGTTATCTTCATAGTAGAATCCAAAAAGAAAAATAAGTAGTAATAATCTCAATTTTTGAAACAAACTTCTTCAATTATCTTCAGAAGGTTTTAGGATTTTCACAGTGAATTCTTTGCCATCTTGAAGGCAACCCTTATAAAACTGACTACTACCACATTTTCCTATAAAATATTCTATAAAATTAAACAAAAAAAATCTATACAATTGGGGAAAATAATTAGAATATCACATGTTTTTCCTTTTGATTATGTTTCCATTAAGAATTTCGAAAGCTAGCAACATTTAATAACCTAACTAGTCATTCTCTTGGTCTGGATAAATTCAAAATCACTCCAACGGCTTTCATCATAAGAGGGCTTTGGTGTTCTACAACATTACCTAGCAGATGATGTGAACACCAACCATCTAACTTCATTAATTGTTGGTTTTATAACTTCATGATACTTATCACTCCATTAATTGTTAGTTTTGCAACTTTATTCTGCAAATCAAAAAGCAATTAATTTTATGTTTTATTGATATATCCTTACATAAATTAATAGTTTAATTCATTAAAATGAGGTGTTATTTTTTTTTAAATTTCTTTATAATGGCATAAAAAAAGCAAAATGAAAATTGATTATGGTCTACTTTAATTCTTGACTTTAAGTAATAATTCATGTTGGCCTTCAACTTTATATTAGAACTTAGAAGCCAAGAAACTCAATTTAGAACAATTTCATGTAATCCAAGCTAGTATACCAATAATTTTCTATATGATATTAATACTTCAAGGTCATTGGACTCAAAATCCATAAGTATGATAACATGGAACACACTAGTACATCTTGAATTGCATTATCAAAGCTTTCATCTTCATCTAAATTTGCCTTCCATAAAGTCTGGTGTGTTTTAGCATTTGGTAGCTCTAGTAAATGCTTTACCTTCTTTAAGTTTTTTGTTCCATTAATGAAAGAAAATTAATTAAAATACACTGAACTACTACTGCTACTAAACCACCTAACTCCAAATTTAATCTTGTTACATCTAAAATAATATCAACAACTAAAGTGAAATCAATGGCAAAAAAAAAAAAAAGAGAGAGAGAGTGAGAGAGAGAGAGAAATAACAAATCCTAACAAGAATCAAAACTAAAAAGAGAAAAAAATTCAAGCAAGTGGAGAAAACCAAAACCAAAATCGTCTCACCACAATAGATGATGCTTTCGTTGCCACCTTATTGATGCAAACTCCACTTTCTTTTCCTTTTCCTTTTCTTGTAAAAAATGTTTCGTAAATAAAAAAATAAAGTCAGAGATAATGAACTGATTAGCATTCTAATTTAAAATAAAAAGGGACAACATAAAAGAAAAACAATTCAAGAAAATTTAAAAATAAGAACAAAAATATTAAAAAAAGGGACATATTTGAACCTTGTTTCATATGGATTAAGAGAAAAACGAAAAATAGGAAATGGTGAGATCGTAGAGCTTCGAGAGCAAGGCTTAACACTGAATCATTATGATTCCTTTACCCAACTTAATGCCATACATAAAATCCTAAAAATCAAACATCAAACATAAACAACGTTTCAATGAATCAAAACAAATTGATCAAATAAAGCATAAGAGATCAAAAATTACATTTTTATTCATTCTTTTACATAAAATCATTATTATACTCTTATCTAGTTCATGCATGAAATAATCCCACATCTCTTTATCAATGCACCATAAAAGCACAGATCTTTTACATTTGTCTTTTTATGGTTTCCAGGAACAACAAGTTGACTTTTTCTTTGTCACCTCTAGAACTCCCATCACAACTTGTTGATCATCAAGATCATCATTCTCAAATCACCGTCTCTTTTCTTGGTTTCAACTCTGATGAAATCTTCAGTATCAATATTTCTGGAGAGTGTGTTTCAATCTTACCTCGGACTCCTCGATTTTTTCTTTCAATGTCATTCTCCCTTTTGGCATATTTGAAGCCTTCAACAAAAATAATCAATTCCAAGGTTATTTTCAGGTATTATCCTTTAGGTTTTTAAAGTAAATTTTCTAAGTAAAGATCGATGAAAAAGAGTTAAAGGAAGGCCAACATTGGCAAATGATAATCATGACAGTAAAAGAGGCAGTGGCAACACTACTAACAAATGAAAGAAGAAGATAGAATGGAGAAAGGTATTGTAGAAGAGAGAAGGAAAGGAAAATAAATAAAACTAAATCTAAAGGTTTTCAAACCCTTAAAACAAATAGCTAGAAATAGGAGACAACAATATGTTGTAAATCAAATTTTTATGGCCTAAATTAATCTTTAATTTTTTTAAGACATCATTGGGTGAACATTTAAGATAAAATTGGAGACGGTTTTATATATTATTATATTAGTAATTATAAAAGTTTTTTTGTCAAAAAAATTATAAAAACTTTGAATTAATATCACAAGTGACACCAATTTAATTAAAAAAACATAAAAACCAATTTATGAAATAAATAATATATATACTAATAAGCTTATATTAATTTATTATTTAATAAATAGAGTTATGATCGTATTTTTTTAACCAACATCTCCCCCCTTCTTCTCCTAAAAAACTTGTAGGTATAATTACTTTCCAGCGCAAATCCATCTATCTCTTTACGAAAATTTCGAAGTTGTTTTTCCTGGAAAAAAAAAAAAGAAAAGAAAAGAAAACGAAACCAGAAAGAAAGCCTCTCTACATCTCAATCTCCTGATTAGGTATATGCTTTTTCCTCTTTTTAGCTACTATTTGAATTCTTATTGCTACGAAACCTTCCTCTTTCTTCTCTGATCTCGAACAGCTAATTCAATTTTCCTCCGCTTCTGAAATGCTGTTTATGTTTCCAACGAACCCACTTTCTCCGTTTCGTTTTAATCTCTTTTAGGTTAGAATAGTGACAATTGATTTAAATATTTAAGGTTTCTGATTAGTTCATTCACTTGTTTTTTTTTGGGTTTTGGCAGAGAAAATATATAAAAAAGGAAGATGGGCGTGAAGCAAGCTATAAAAAGCCTGGATGCGTTTCCTCGTGCGGAGGAACATTTGTTGCAGAAGACGCAGTCGGGAGCTCTAGGTGAATTATCAATTTTTAATTTCTCTTTTTAACTCAAAAAATTTTGCTACTTATTGATTAAAACCAATACTAATTTATTTTTGGGTAAAACTCTATATTATAGTCTCGATCGTTGGTTTAGTGATAATGGCCGCGCTGTTCATTCACGAGCTTACGTATTATCTTACTACTTATACCGTTCATCAGGTTTGCATTTTTGTAGTTTTTACTATTGCTGTTACCAATTTTTGTGGATGAATTTGTTAAACGGACTGATGGCATTGTCATTGTTTGAATTTCTTAATATTTTATAGAAACAACTCAAATTCGAATGTTTACAATTAGATTTTCTGGGTCCTAGGCTTCTTTTACTTTTCAAAGGATGCCATAGAGGCTTATTTTGGGAAGGACAAGTTTTATAACAGATTTGCCTTCTGGCGTAAATGTGCTCATATTGTATGCCAGCTAGGAAATAGAATGATAGGCAAAGCTTTGGGGAACTTAAATTATGCAGCAGAACACACCTTGCTCTTGTGTAATTTTAGCTCCAGTGATTTGGCGGTTTTTATATATGAGTTGTGTGTGCATTGTGTTTATGGATAGAGTCGTGTTTATATTCTCTGTGGACGTTCCTGCTTTCTCCTGATCTCCTTCTTGGCATCCAAGTTGTTTGCAAGTTTATTGGATAATCTTTTGTGTAGGAGTATTCTTCAAGACAATGAATGATTTAAGCCTTTGCTTTCTTTTTTATTTAATAATATTCTAAATGTTTTTTTTTTTTTTTTCTGGCTTCTGATATCTCTTTAATCACATCTATATCTTTCCCTAAACTACTTAAACTTACTGATTGACCAAATACTAGTCAAACTAAAGTCAATTTACAACCATCCATCCCAATATCTTTTGCATACAATTATTATTTAATAATATTTTAACTAACCCTTGTCACTCAACCACCACTTATTCAATCCTTATTTCAAATATAAACTTTGAACCCTTCAACTGTTCTACAACTTTCAAATTCAATCCTGTTATTTTCCAAGTCTAGCTCACCTCAAGTGGCTTTCTAAAATGCCTTCTATATTAATAAGAGCACCCAAGCAACAATAGTTCTCAAACAAGGTGATTTCCTCTCCGACCTTTCTATCTAAGTTAACCCTATAAGGGAATTCTGTAACCAGTGATGTGATTACATTAGTAGTTTGGGATTAAAGCTACTTGAGATGTCTAACTGAACAAATATTTGGCAGATGTCAGTAGACTTGAAACGTGGGGAAACACTTCCAATTCACATTAATATGACATTTCCTTCATTACCTTGTGATGGTTAGTACTGCTCTTTTTATGAAAATCTTCTTTTTATCTGTAGATTCTGATTCTATCCCCTCTTTGGAATATTGACTGCTGATCATTGACCTATCATATTGTTTTGCAGTCTTAAGTGTAGATGCCATTGACATGTCAGGCAAGCACGAAGTGGATCTTGATACTAACATATGGAAAGTAAGACAATTTCTTCTTCTCGGCAAGCCTTTTGTTGCCTTAGATGATTGTGTTCTAATGACTGCAATATTCTTCTTAAGAAGCTCCCCTCCCTCCATTAGAGATGAATGTGGGATTTATAGTTAGTTTCCTTGTTTTTATCTGGCTAACCATGTTACACTTCCTGCAGCTTCGCCTGAACAGTCATGGTCATATCATTGGGACTGAATATTTGTCCGACCTTGTGGAAAAGGAGCATGCAGCTGACAAGCATGATATTGTCCTTGGTGTTGCACATCTACTTTATGGTTTTAATTTAATTTATCTTTTTGGTAGCTCCATCTGTGTTCAATATATGGTTATGCAATCTGGACTGCACATTGTTATATGTATCAACGAGTCAATGTCATGATAGCCATGCTCTGCCTTTTTTCAGGGTTGGGTTGGGGGTGGGTGGGATAAACGGAGAGACAAAACAATAAAAAGGCACCAAAGGGTCAGATTCTAATGAAATTTTTTTCTTTTTAGGAGATTATAAACGGTCAGATTTCTTCCTCAAGATGCTTTCATGCAAAAAGCATCTTCTAGGCTGCCCTCTGTGAATATCAGACATCTTAGAGCAAGTCAGGATCTTAAAAGATGGAAGGGGGGGGGGGGGGTAATGATACATGCTTAAGTAGTATCTGTTATAAGTATATATGTAATCTGGTCATGGAATCCCGCATCGTGAATTAAAATTTGTAGATTAGGCTGTCAACTATTGCTGGGTGTGTGATTTACGGATAAGTTAAAAAAGTAAAAAAACCATTTAAAGATGGCATGAAATGGTAAAACAACCATGCTTGACTCCTTAAATGAAAGATGCAGAGTCACTTTGAAAATGAAGTAGAAGCATGTTCAACGAATTATTAAGCAATATTTGGGACTTGCGCATAAGCCACTTTTCTAAGTTTTAGATTTTTATCATTACCATTTGGTAAAATGGCCTAATTGTGCGGCACATTTTATTTAGATAAATCTAGGTTTTTCCTTGTTCTCTGTCTTGTTTTCTGTTAGGGTAGATTAAGGCGTAAAATTTATGGATATGGATTTGTCATAACTTTGTTAGGTCATTTACAGTTCATAAAGAAAAAGAGAAATGGTGCTCATTTGTTGTTTCTTCAAGGCATAAATAACTAATTTTCTGTAGTGAATATGAGCAGATGATGAGAAGGAACATCATGATGATTCTAACAAGAAGTTTCAAGCACTTGGCTTCGATCAAGAAGCGGAAAACATGATCAAGAAGGTGAAGCAAGCACTGGTCAATGGAGAAGGATGCCGGGTATTTATCCTATAGAGTTTCCTTAATTATTAACTCTTTAAGCTTTTTTAACTAATCAATTAATTTTTATTTTTGGGGCCATCAAGGGTAAAAAATGAAAGAATATAAAGGAAAACTAATCAACTAATGTAACTTTTCTGCAGGTTTATGGGGTATTAGATGTCCAAAGGGTGGCTGGAAACTTCCACATTTCAGTTCATGGGTTAAACATTAATGTTGCTCAAATGGTTGGTAGCCTTTTCTCTTAGCAATCTAATTTCATGTCATATCCTAAATATGCATGTATTCAGTATTCATCATCTTCTTGGTTAGAATGTTTCTGTGTGAGTAATGATAGCTCATTGTGCAGGTTCTTGTTCTTGGGGTTTGATTGAATAGTGAAGGGTATGACTGGTTGTTTTTACCAGTTTGATCTTTAATTGAATGTTTTGAATTATTATAAGAGAAACACCCTAATTTTTGTCTTTTAATGGAAGAAAATATATGAATATTTATTATATAAAGAAAAATTTAGATTTTAACTTTATGTTTGCTCTATTATTGTCATATTATTTTCTAAATTATTTTTAGAACTCTAAAACAACTTCTAATGGAATTTCTACTAAATATTTTCTAAAGTATGATGGTAAATTTGCTCCAAAATTAAAAGTGTAGTGGTAAAGTTGCACCAGTTGAAAGATTGGTGGTAAATTTGAAGCAGTCCCATAAGTAAAATGGTAAATTTGCACTGTATTTGGGGGATTGAAAGGTTTTTCCATTTGTAACATTTTCCATTATAAGTCCTATGGAGGAGTAGATATCAATATTGATGCCCTCAATTTGTTGAAAGCCTGAACTGGTAGGACACCATGTACTTGATACATGAATGAGAATCTTTCAGTTTTGAATTTAATATAATCATCACTTCTTAATACGCATATGCCAGAGATAGATGATCGAACGCAATGCTTTGATTAAGCATCTGGTAATGGGATTATGTAAGGTTGCAGACTTTTTGATTTGGTTTGGAATTTATTCCTCCTGTAAGCTATGATCTAAAGTTTTAGTTTCTTTAAGCCGTCGTCTTCGATATTATTAGGCAATATAGGTGCATTTGGTGTTCAGCAGGCATTTTCTTTTTTCTTTGAATTTATAATGTACTTGTGTAAGAATCAGTGAATTGTGCATCTGATCTCTGAATTTACTCGTGTGTTGAGCTCCGCATAGGTTTTAGGTTGAAATTTTCTGGTATTACAAAAGAAAAAAGGCAGTGAATGCCTTTAATTAGAGGTCTTGGTATCTTTATTCAAATATAATTACTTAGTTCTGATCTTAAAGACCTGTCGAAGCTTGGGAGAACGGTCATGGTCTCTCAGAAAATTTTGGTCTAAGATTTGGAATTTTGGTTAGAGTGAGGAATTTAAAAATCTAAATATAGTTTGGAAGAATGCACTAGATTTAAATACAATGTTTTCTCTTTTAGTTTCTTGGCTTTAAGAGTTATGAGGATTTCTACAACAGTCATTTTTTTTTCTTTTTGACATTTTCTTCTTTGTTATCTGCAACTTAAGCAGAAGTCCTTTTTTCTTTACTGACAGATCTTTGGAGGAGCAACACATGTCAATGTAAGTCATATGATTCATGATTTATCATTCGGGCCAAAATATCCAGGACTTCACAACCCGCTTGATGGTACTGTGCGGATTTTGCATGATACTAGTGGAACATTCAAGTATTACATAAAGGTTTGATTTTTGATCATTCTCTTGATTGACCAAAGATTTATGGCAATATCTGTCAGCATTTTCAAGGAACTCACATTAGGCAAATATCTCATAGAACTGTCTGTCCTGCTACAGTTCCACAACTAAAGTGTGCAAATTGATGATCCATGTTTTCTGCATTAAATTGATTGGGTATTTGTCTTTTGGTTAATGAGCATGGGGATCTCATAAGTGGTCCAACCTCACTTAGCATTCTCTCTCTCTTTTAGTGCTTGATCCTAAATTGTAGTGGTCATCTAGCATGTAACCATCTAAACTGTGTATCATCTATTATTATGCGGTTGTATGATTGGTTGGGAAGGGTCACAATGTAAAGCTTTTTGATTGGTTCCAAAGATTGTCTCAAAAGCAGTAAGAATACCTTGTTACATTCTGATTGTTTTCATCCTTAACTTAAAAAGAGGCCCTTCTACACTTTTCCATATCTATCATTTCTCTTCTTTAGCAACATCCTATAAGCATTGCCAGATCTTGTTCTCTAGGTACATTCTGCTGCTCTGCCTTTATGCTCCAAACTTTACACCCTTGTGAAAGTATAGTTTCATAGTATGTTCTTACAATTGCTCTCCTCCCCTATAAAAATATGGTCTTAGTTTTAGAACTACTTCCAGTTCTGTAAAATAGTAACAAGCTCTTTCATTTTGTATTTCAGTACTTTCACTGGTGCTACTTCTATCATTAGTTTGCCTCTTTATCTTTTGTTCTTCTATGACTTTGGAAATTAGTTGTTTCAATCTTGACTTCTCTATTCATCCAAGTGTTCTCTTTACTGTGTTGCAGATTGTCCCTACTGAGTACAGATATATCTCAAAGGAAGTTTTGCCAACAAATCAGTTCTCCGTTACAGAATATTTTTCCCCTATGAATGAGTTTGATAGGACATGGCCAGGTTGGTTGGAGGAGTGACTTTTTAAGCATCATAACTCCTTTCGGTAGTGGTTACTAATTGCTTTACTCCTCTGTTCAGCTGTTTACTTTTTATATGATCTGTCACCAATCACTGTGACTATAAAAGAAGAGTGCCAAAGCTTTCTCCATTTCATCACTCGACTTTGTGCAGTATTGGGAGGGACATTTGCTTTAACAGGTTTGCAACCTATGCTCATTATGTGAACTATCCAAATTTATAAGCTGCTTAAAGTTTGCAAACTAGGCCAAATTGCATAATGTAGGAGGGCAAAAAAAATTTTTATGTTGTTTTTGGTTTGTAATTTAGTACTTTATTCCAGTTCCAATATGGGTTTGGCTGTGATTTGAACCTTTGAGTATAACTTAAGGTTGATACCTCCTTTTATTGCAAATTTTATGATTACTCCACATTTTTGGGTTCATTTACGAGAAAGGTTTAAAGTTTCATGTGGAAAAAACTCTCTTATCCAAAGCTTTACCAGTTAGAAGATTTTTGCTATTTGCATATGTCTTCTCCTTGATCTGACTTTTCTGTCACATTAAAACAGGAATGCTAGATCGTTGGATGTATAGGCTTCTTGAAGGACTGACTAAACCAAGCGCTAGGGGTGGTGTGTATCGGTAGAGTTTTGGAGTACAAAAACAACATTAACTCACATGTGCACCTTTCGGTAGAATTCTGAATTGGTGGAAATCACTGGCTTCTGATCATAGCATCCTGACCTTAGAATGCAGAGAGTGTGGATTAAAAGAATGTATACAACCTATAGTCTGTGACTTGGTAAATTATTCCATGCAGTGTTCTTTCTTATTATTCCTTGTACTTTCATAATTTAGATGTCTTAAGTTGTACCATTTTTGCAATGCTATTTTTGTTGATGCTCTGGGCAACTTAGGGCTTGGAATAGATAGACCAATTAACTTAGAAGTGGCATGATGATTCTAATTTTAGAAAAAATCTAAAAGCGAATTCGATTTCAAAATGATTTGAAAATTTTTAATTATTAATTTTCTTTTAATTTGAATTTTTATTTGATTTGAATGTATTAAAAAATTTGTTGGTCACAATTATTTTTATTTCAACATTACAGTGACGTTAACGTTAACTCCATCATAGACGTACTTTATATGTTTATCATCAAATTAAATATTTGATTATCACTTTTGCATATCAATTCGAATGAAAGAAAATTTTTAAAATCGTTATAGAGACGCGCATAAATAATTTCATTAGTTTTTCTTCAGATAATTCTATTAACACTTCATATTTACTTTTTACTTTTTTTTAACAAAATCATTTTAAATGAAATTATATAATTACTTTTTCTTTTTTATCTAAACATTCCGTTCTTTTTTAAGTTTTCAAATTTGCAAATCGAGAATGCAAGAAAACTTTTGAAAGAGTGCTTTCAAATGCATCATCATTTTTATTTTTCATATACGTTTTTCTTCAAAAATTTTACAAATGAAATTACTTAATTATTATTCTCACAAGTTTTTAGATATTCATATTCGAAAAATTTTATAATTTTTTGAAAATCTATTTTAAAAATGTTATATAATTTACTGAAAATGGATTTTTAAAAAGGTATAAAACATTTTGGAAATCCATTTCTATAAGGGTAGAAAGAGAAATTTTAATAAAAATTATAAATTAAAATTTTTTATGAATTGGTGCAATGAAAATGTTATTATTAGAAAAAATCATAAATTTTAAAATTAATAAACAAAGTTAATTTTACCATTTTGATATTAAAAAAAAAAAAATCTTATGAGATTTTAATTAAATTAAAGATAAAATGATAAATATAATTTTTTATAAATTTAAAATTGATCATTTTTTAATAAATATTTTTTATATCGATTATTAAAATTTTATAATAATTTTAACTAAATTGAATTTTTTTAAAAAATCTCTTCATATACTTATCACGATAGTTTATTAGATTTTAATAAAATTGTATAATATTTAATAGTATTACTTATACAATTTTAAAAAGTTTTCAGTTTTATATGTTGATTAGATTGATAGTTTTTTCATCATCTTTTTTATATAAAAAAATGAAATATTTAATTAGAGTCTCATATTTTTTTTTCTTTTTTCAACATCAAACTAGTTAAATTAATTTTTTTTTATTAATTAAACTTATGATTTTTTAATAATAATTTTTTATTACATTAATTCATAAAATTTTTTAATAAAATTTAATTTTTTATAATTTTTTAAAAAAATTTTCATAGAAATAAAATTTCAAAAAGTAATAAGTTATATAACTTTTTATAATTGAATTTTTAAATAGTTATAAATTTGATCATATATAGATATTCGAAAACTTGTAAGAAAATATTTAAGTAATTTAACTTATAAAAAATTTTGAAAAAAAAAAAAAGTGAAGTGTAAAACAAAAATCGTGGTGTATTTAAAAACTTTCTTTTTAAAATCGTTATCGGGACATACATAAATAAATAATTTCATTAATTTCTCTTTCTTTATTTATAATTAGATAATTATATTCATATTCTATTTTTTACTCTTTATATTTTTTTTCAAATTATTTTAAATGAAATTATATAATTATTTTTTTCCTTTATCTAAGCATTTTTTTCACTTTTAAAATTTCAAATTTATAAATTTAAAAACTTATAAAAATTTTTGGATTTGTAAATTCATAACCTCTTAAAACTTTTGAATTTGAATATTTGAAAACTTAAAAATTTTTATAAGATATTTTTTCTCAAACTTAAATGTAATTTTATTAAAAAACTTCTTGATGTGCATTTTTAATAAATTATATAATTTATCGGATATATATTTTTGATATGTTACATAACTTATCAAAAATACATATTAAAAAGTTATAAAATTAATATGAGAAAGATAATTAAGTGATTTTATTTAAAGAAAAATAAAAAAAAAAGGTGCGTTTCAAAGCACCCTTTGGAATTTTGTATATTTGTTTCTTACTGTTTTTGGGTTTTGGCGCACTTACAGGCCAGATTAAAAAAAAGCAAGAAAAAGAAATGACACAATGGGAGTGACTGCCATTGGGACCGCAAACGGATCCGAATCCTTCGTGCCTTCGTCCAATCCTCAAACATTTGACTTTCTTTCTTTCTTTCCTTCTTTTGCCGATCCTTAAACCAACAAAAAAACAGCAATGTCTAAACAATGTTCCCAATAAAAAGAAAAAAAACTAAGCTAAAAGGCCACCGATCCAATACAGAATCTAAAATCTTTAACAATGGCCGATGATGATACCCATAACCAAAGCCAAGAATGCACTACGGTCCGAGAGTTTTGTGCCAATGGGGTTTGCATGAAAACGACCGATGTGGAAGCCAAACTCGACGAAGGCAATATTCAAGAAGCTGAATCTTCTTTACGCGAAGGCTTGTCCCTCAATTTTGAGGTTTGTTTGTTATGTTTTTTATTGGATGATCTGAAATTGGGTGAATTTGAATTTGATTGTTTGGTTTTGAAGGAAGCGAGGGCTCTTTTGGGAAGATTAGAGTATCAAAGAGGAAATGTAGAAGGGGCACTTCGGGTATTCGATGGGATCGATCTTCAAGCTGCAATTCAACGGCTGCAACCTTCCGTTAATGAGAATTCTAATCCTTGTTCTGTTTCTTCTTCTTCTTCTAATAATAATTCTTCTTCTAACAAGAAACGCCGGGCTAATCGTGATTCGCAGCCTGCCGTTTCCCAACACGCTGCCAGCCTCGTTCTTGAAGGCGTTTACTTAAAGGCCAAGTCCCTTCAAAAGCTCGGGAGATTTACTGGTATTCCAAAACACTCACATTTCGCCTCCCTTTTCTGTTCGAATCTTACTCAAAATGGAATCTTCCTTTTCATACCTCAGGAAATGAAAGTTGAATGTTTTTTTTTATTGCTTTTGTAGAGGCTGCTCAGGATTGTACAAATGTGCTTGATGCTGTGGGGAGGATATTTCCTCAAGGAATACTTAACGTCCAAGTTGAGAATCGATTGCAGGAGACGGTTAGTCAAGCCGTTGAGCTACTTCCAGAGCTTTGGAAGCAGGCTGATAATTATCAAGAAGCAATGTCTGCTTATAGACGTGCACTGCTCCATCTATGGAACTTAAACAATGATTGTTGTGCACGAATTCAGAAAGCATTTGCAGTTTTTCTCTTGCATAGTGGGTTGGAGGCTGGTCCTCCTAGCTTAGGTGCTCAAATTGACGGAGCTTACGTACCCAAAAATAATTTGGAAGAGGCTATTCTGCTTTTGATGGTTCTTATGAGAAAAATTCAACAGGGTATGATCCAGTGGGATCCATCTGTTATGGATCACTTAATGTATGCACTTTCTGTATGCAGCCAAACTCCTGTTTTATCAAAGCAACTTGAAGAGCTCAAACCTGGAGTATTTCATCGTATTGACCGTTGGAATATCTTAGCTCTTTGTTGCAGTGGTGCGGGACAGAATAAAGCTGCCTTGAATCTATTGAGAAAGTCTCTGCATAAACATGAAAGACCTGATGATCTCACAGCATTACTATTGGCTGCCAAGATCTGTAGTGAGGATTTTTATCTTGCAGCCGAGGGAGTAGCATATGCACAGAGGGCAATCGATAATGCACAAGGGGTGGATGGACATCTGAAGGGTGTTGGTCTTCGTATGTTAGGTCTTTGTTTGGGAAAGCAAGCTAAAGTTTCTTCCTCTGACTTTGAAAGGTCCCGTATTCAGTCTGAAGCGCTTAAATCTTTAGATGCTGCAATATCTTTTGAGCAGGATAATGCTGATATAATCTTTGAGTTGGGAGTTCAATATGCAGAGCAGCGGAATTTGAATGCTGCTTTGCGTTATGCAAAGAAGTACATTGATGTAACTGGTGGTTCTGTATTAAAGGGTTGGAGATTGCTTGCTCTAATTTTGTCTGCTCAACAGCGATTCTCAGAGGCTGAGTTGGTCACTGATGCTGCTTTGGATGAGACTGCCAAATGGGACCAAGGGCCACTGCTAAGGCTGAAAGCAAAACTGCAGATCTCCCAGTCACGACCCATGGATGCTATTGAAACTTATCGTTACCTCCTTGCATTGGTTCAGGCCCAAAGAAAATCATTTGGTCCTGTGAGAATTGATTCTCAGGTTCAATTCAGAATCTTCTTCCTAATTTGTTTTAAGAAAGAAAAAACTTTTTTTCATGATAATATTTCTTTTAAATGTTGTTATGGTTGCTTTTTACCACTTTTAAATGTCCGTAATGCAATATGTTAGCACAAGTACCATGCAAGTGGCATAGGTTGTTACAATGCACTGTTTTACATAAAAATCGAGCCGAGTAAATCACTTTCTATTTCTTGAACTGATTAAGCAAGATTTTTATTTTAAGAAAAATATGCCAGGTTTGACTTCAATGTGCTTTAATTGTATTACCAATTGAAATATATGTTGTTGGTTTTGAGTTTCAAACATCAGGTGCTCATATGAAGTTGTTAATTGTAAAGCTCACCTTTGAAACTATAGTGAAAATGAGTTCACATAGTTGTCTGATGAAAAAATGCACTTTGAAGAGGTTTTGCCTTTACACGTTCAGTTGTAATTTTTACAAAAATTTAGGTTATTTTTAGTTTATTTTATACTGTTACTATTTTATTTAATTTCTAAGTATTAGGTTTTAGTGTTATATTTGGTATTTTGTGGGTTTAGTTAGCTTATAAATATATGTGCTACTTAAGTTTTGATTAGGTTTTGGATGATGAACATTTTGAGATATTGATTATTGAGATTTTCTCCCTGTATTGATTCTTTCTGGTATTCTCCTCTGATTCTTTGTGGTTTTATTCCCTAGTTCTTCTAGTTCTTCTGTTTTTCCCCTAATTTTCTCTGTGGACTAGCTTGTTTGTCTATTTTCTGATTTTTCATCTAAATTTCTATTTTCTATCTCATTCCCCGACTTGTTCTACGTCATGGTTATACAATTATAAAATTGAAATGCATTGTATATGTGAGACACAGACCTATTCTAAGAAGTGAGTTCTGACTTAATTTGGGATTTCTTGCCAAAAGAGTGAGGAAAGGACCAAAGAGGTCATTGCTAGAAACTACAAGAAAGGCCCTTGCTTTTACTGATTTTAAGAAGGATATGGATCCCAACAGAGCACAATTGCTTCATAGGAACCATTTGATCAACCCCATGTAGTGTGAAAAGGCTTAGTTTGTCATCATTATTTTTGTGCAAAAGGCTCTATGTTGGAATTTTGATGACATTGCTATTTTCTATCTTAGTCGTACTTCTAAATTTTTACTGTTTGTATTACCTTGCAATTATATTATACTTTGATTTTTGTTTTTTCTTTTCTCCTTTATTACAAAAAATTTGAGTTAGACCAAGCCCATGATTAAGGCTTAGTTTTGTTGGTTGATTGTTATAAATGTTTGATATTTTGGATGTTATTTCTTCTGAATTAATCTTTATTTATTTATTTATTATTGATAGGTAGAGGATGATAAAGTAAAAGAATTTGAAGTTTGGCATGGCCTTGCAAATCTGTACTCTAGTCTTTCACACTGGAAGGATGTAGAAATCTGTTTGAAAAAAGCCAGAGAGATGAAACAGTATTCTGCAGAACTGCTGCATACAGAAGGCAAGATTTGAAACCTTATTTTACTGAATGAACTAACTTTTTACCTCTACTTTCTACTTGGTAAACTTATAATTTTTTAATGAATTTGCTTGTCTATTTATGGGACCAACTCTATACTTGAATCAACCCAGCAGTTCTCTTGGACTAGCTTATGAGCTGAGAGAGATTTGATAAATATCATAGGTGCTTCAGCAATGATGAAATAGGTTGAAATGTTCAGAACGCATAAGATATAAAGAACATAAAGCTACAGCTGCTTTCAGGACATTTCTTGGACATATTCACCAAACATTTAAAATATCTGTCTTATCATCTGTTAGGGAGAGAACTTCTCCTCTTGACAAGATGATAGAGATGTCAGAAAAAATCCAGATTAAATCCAAGAATATGAGAAATTACAGTCTCTTTTAATGTAGGTCTTGTTTAGAACTTGGTCCAGCTAAAATAAACCTGTTAAATCCTAAGCACTTGATCTGTGGGTGATTTCTCTTAGAAGTCAGGGATATTTTAAGCTCCATTTGGTTGTTTTTTCTATTAGCATTTTGTTTCCTCAGAAGTTGCAACAAGCAAATAATATAAAGAAAATTCATATTTATGATTTAAAATGAGCAAATGACTAAAAAAGAAATTCAACCATAATTGATCCACTTACAATAAAATCATATGGAACCGAATTGTGTGTTTTGATATCCATGAAAATAATGTTTTTAATCCTTCAAAAGTACTACTTTGTTTTTGCATCCAAAGAGCAATATCTGCTTTTTGCTTCTAAATGGGAAAAGTCAAAAAGTAAATTGCAAGAGTAACAACTCAAGAACTTCTGTAATTGCATCTTTACTAGAATGGTGGGAGAATAATGTTGGGACTTATTTTGAGTCTTTTTTTCTTGTTGAGCCTTTATTTTAGGTCTAAGAACTGTTTAGAATAACACCCGTAACTTATTCTATTTTGTTGTTTTGCAAAGGTTTTCTAACTTTTTATATCAAAATATTCATAGTATCATGATTAAATTTTGTTTATGTGCTTAATTCTAGCAGAGCCTAAGAAACATCATGGGTTGGCATGATGCACTACTTTATAATATGTAATATGATGACTAGATGAGGTTAGCAGTCATCCCATCAATGAAATGGAACTCTTTTCCTACTTATTTTCAGTCTAATTATCTTTGAGATTTTGATTGAAGTGGATAATATAAACAAAACTTTTCTTGCCTAAACTAAGACTTCTATAGGTTAACTTGGCTTGCTACTATGATGCAATGAAGGTTTACGGTCCTTAATGTTGAAAAGGCTAACTAAAGAATTAAGAAATAGATTAGGAATGTTTAGTTTCCTTTTGCATTATGTACTTATGTTCTGGTAATTATTTGTTTTATGGTCTTTGATTTGATTTCTGTAACATTTTTTTATGTCTTAGAATTTATTAGGTATATAACTAAATCACATTAAGTGTCATAGCTTATGGTTCTTACTATGATTGTTGAGGAATTCCAGTAGTTTTGGGAACAAGTTGCTTAAAGATCAAGTTTAATAGAGCCTTAACACTTGTGCTGTAATCAAAGTAGAAGGGTTTTTTTTTTTAACAAATAAAATCTTAGGTGCTTCATTTTTTTACAGAATAAAATCTTGGATCGCTTCATTTCTTTTTTTTTTTGTTTCATTGTTTCTTTCTTTGTTATGGTATTTTAATTCTCAATTCAACTTTTTTTTTTCTTTTTAAATTGAAGAAATCATATTTGAATCTTAGTTTGACTCCAATCTGATCATTCTTTTGATGTATTAACTCTTGTGAAGAAGATTTCACCGAGGCTAATATTGCCACTCAGGTTGTTCTTAAAGGTTTTCCAGAGATCTGATTGAGAACATAACATTGAATAGTGAAGCCCATTTAGGAAACATTTTTGGAGTTGCATTGTTTGCATAGCATTGATTGACATTGTCTGCTTGGTAACAATTTTCTTGAATTCTTATGAAGGATTTCAATTGAATGGCTTACCCAGGTAAGATGGAATGCTGGTGACTTCCAGGCTTTTTATATACTACTCATTTCAAACACACTTGCTGCAGATATAGTTGTTTGAATCCAAATTGTTTGCCGTTAATATTGATTGAGCAGTTGATTCGGTCCAAGCACATTAGTTTTTGTTTCCAATATAAAGAAACAGAGTGGAGATTTGTACAATATTCATTGCCTTGAGTAGGATTTTGTTAACAGAGAACTAGTTTTTTTTTTTTTTAATTTTATTTTTATCAGTGCTGCTTATGATATATACATATTATATATATATATATATATGAACTAAATTATTGAAATGTTAAACCTTTTAGATAGTTTTGATATTACTTTTTAGTATTATTAAATTTTGTTGTGAATTTAGTAATGGATTAATGTCACAAATGATTCCTGACCTATAATGAAATATTCAATATTATATCCAAATTTTAAAAATCTCTAATGTAATACTTGAACCATGAATTTGTTAATTATTGTGGTACTCACCCTAACGTTATTAGCTTCCAATGATGACATGTGGTTGACAAACATCCCGTCAAGTACGACATTAGTTAACAGACTCATAGTTTAGGTACTACATTAGATATTTTTAAAATGCAAATATCACATTGAACATTTCACTATAGTTCAAGGGCCATTTGTGACATTATTCCTTGAGCAATAAAGGAGTTTATGACTTGGTTTCTTAAATGTTAAGAAAGGAACATTTATGTTTTTAGGGTGATAGTTATAGAGAACTAAAGTTCTTTATTGTATATGACAGGTTTTATGTGTCAAGAACGTGGAGAAATCCAAAAAGCATTATCTGCTTATATCAATGCTAGTCTGCTAGAACCATCATATGTACCTTCCAAGGTACTGATTGGTGCAATGTTGTCCAAGATGGGCTCATTGCCTGTGGCGAGAACCGTACTATCTGATGCATTGAGGATTGAACCTACAAACCGGAAGGCTTGGTATTACTTAGGTATGGTACATAAGGAAGATGGTCGCATTGCAGATGCCACAGATTGCCTCCAGGCAGCCTCAATTCTTGAAGAGTCAGATCCTATTGAAAGCTTTAGATCTATCCTTTGACAGGCTCCCATACATTTCAGGTATTAAATTCTAATATTTTCTACTTCATGATGTTTATTTGTTTGCTTATTTGCTTGTGCGCATATTTTCCTCTAATTTTTGCAGCAAAATCTGTTCATGTAACGTTAACCAACATCAGTTTCCCCCGGGGTACAGGGAAGGCTCTTTTGCACACTCTTTCCAATTTCTTCATTTATGTTGCTTCCTCGCTAGTTGCTGCCATAAAGAAGGGATCAAGTCAAATGAAAATGGAATTTGAAAGGAAAATAAGATCAAAGGAAATGCCAGATGATTTAGTTCAAATTGTAGGAAATGCAGTAGGGGGCTCTCAAATGGTCTTCTAATGATATTTTTCTGAGCATGCTTCTCGCTGTTTTAGAACTAATAATATATATATATATATATATGTATGTATGTATATTATCTTTTGCTTTCTTGGTGGTTATGATTCAATTGCATATTGCTTGGATCTTTATTTTACAGATTTACAGTGATTAATGATAAAAAGGGGAAAAACTGATTGTTTCATTTATCTATACTTTTTTTAGGTAATTGTAAAATTGATCATTACTTACAATTGGTTGGTGTCTTGTTGCACAATGGTACTAAAGTGGAGAGCTATATATATAAGCTCAAATTATGCCAGATATCTCTATTTTGTCAAAATTTAAAATTTAATTCTTATACTATAATTTATATAAATTTATTTTTCATATTATTTTGATTTGATACTCTTATTTTAATCATTAAATTTGTTGAATTTTTGTCGTTAAAAATATTAATGTAACAATTGATTTGATGACATGGATGTTGATTTTGCTAATGTAATATTGATTTTATTGAGATGATAATTTGAATTAATGAAATCAATTATTAAATTATGAAAATAATCTTTATATTCATAAAAGTTTAAATTTTAATCCACCTAATATAATTCATAAAAATTTCATTATCATACAAATCAAATTTGATATTATTGGTCTTATTACTAATAAAAATTATATATATTTTTAATTTTTTAGAACATTAGATTTTAATTTTTAAAAATTAATATTTCAAAAAATTTTATAATCTTTTCAAATTTTTTAAAAATGTTAGATTTGATATTTTAAAAATATTTTAATTTTAAAAAATCATATTGTTGTTTGTTTTAAAATCAGATTTTTTATTTTAAAAAGATCAATATCTTCAATTTTTAAAATTTTCTAGATTTTTTAAAAATATTAAATTTATTTTTAAAATTTTTTTTAAAAAAATTCAATTACTAATATTTGGAATTTTTAATTTTATATTTTCTATAAAAATATAGAAAATTTCTAAAAACATAAAAAAAATTTTAAAATATAGAAAATTTTGTAAAAATTCTAAAAATAAAAAAAAAGTTTAATATTTTGATTAAATAAAAATGTTAAAATTTGAAAAAAATAAAACTTTCAAAATTGAATTATATTTAAAATTTTTAAAATATTGAAAAAATAAATTTAATGTTTTTAAAAAATATGAAAATTTCTAAAAATTTTAGAATATTGAATTTCTTAAAATATAATATATGACTTTAAAAAAATTTAAAAATACGATTGCTAAAATTTAAAATATTTTTAAAAATTATTAAATTTAATATCTTAAAATATGAAAATTCTAAAAAATTAAAAATATTGATTTCAAAAATTAAAAAACAATTTAAACAATTAAAAAAATGATTCTTATTAGTAATTGGATTAATATTATCAAATTAAGCTTGTATGATAACATGAATATTATGAATTATATTGAAAGGATTAAAATTTAAATTTCATGTGAGTACGAAAAATATTTACATAATTTGACAATTAATTTTATCAATCTAAGTTATTACATTAGTAAATTTAATACTCACATTATCAAGTAAATAGTCATGTCATCTAGTCAACTGATTTTTCAAAATTTCTAATGGTAAAAATTTGATAAAATTAATGACCAACAAATAAAAATAATACGAGAACTAAATTTTTATGAGTTATAGGACTAAAATTTAAATTTTAACATAATAAATGGACCTCTAACATAATTTGACCTATATATTAATATAAAAATAGTAATTCTAGTTTTAATGTTATTGACTTAATTTTGACAAAAGTGAAATTTAAACGTAATATTTTAACAAGAAAATGCATTTATCATTGAATTAAATGGAATATTTAGATTGATTTTTGAATATTTATATGAATAGATAAAGAAGGCAATCAAATTTTTTTAAATTAGATTAAGTTCTTCAATTTTTTTTTTTATATTTGATGTTATTAAGGATTAAATTTTGATTCCTAATATTAAGAGTTTGTTTTTAAGTTTTATTTATAATTAAATATTATATCATATAATTTGTTGAGTAATTAATTATTACATATCAAATTATAATTATTAAATAATCAAATAATAACTTATAATATAATTAAATAATTAAATTTACATTTAGTGAAACTTAAATTTAATAATAAATATTATATAAAAATAAAAAGTAATTGTATACATATAAAAATTATTTTTTATAATAATAAATAATGCATTTTACTCTTGTAATTTGTCCAACAAAAACGAAAATGCCTCTTTGAATTTGGATATTTTTCCCTTCTTAAATACTGAAATAAATAATTTTATTATGGAGAAAATAATTTTATAATTAAAAAATGAAATAAATAATAAAATAATATAGCTACAAAGTATAATTAAAAAATTTTGTCCAATAATATTCGAGTTTCTTGATTATATGTTTCTAAATAGACATGGATATTTTTTATGTTTCCAATCCATAGCGTAAATAAATATCTAACCATATATATATTGAGAATTGAGCGTTTGTACGTTTATCCCCGTTCGACCTACTGACTGTGAGAAGGAGAAATGGAGACATCTGCTTCTTCCTCTTCTTTACGTGGCTCCAGGCTTCATCAAAACATCTTCAGACGCTCCCCACTGTCCTCCTCCATGCCCTGCAATTCTCGGCTTACCTTTCCTACGGCTCTCACGATAAACCCTCTTCCCCCAAACCTTTATTTCTCAACTAAACATGCAATTCTCAGAGTTGGACAATCCCCAAGGTCCTTCCTTTTTCTCTCATTTTAATCACTGCCCATTTCTTTTCTTTTTCTAAAGATTTTATTTTTTTTAATGGATTGGGTTGAATTCTTTGTGGGTTTTATTTATTTTTTTTTTCAGGTTACTGAAAGTAGGTGGTGGTAATCCTTTGTTTGGGGTGATCTCAATGGGAATGTTGGCTCCAAGAAAGTTTTTGAAGAAGAGGAAGAAAGTGGAACATTTCAAAGATGCAGCCGATGAGGCTGATCAGAAGAGCTGGAGGAGACTAATGAAGGAGATTGAGGACACGGGTTCTGCTTCGACAGTACTTAGACGCCAACGAACTAGCGACCAATCTCTTCCTAGAGACTTGGTTTTAGGCACCTTGGTTAGATTTAAGCAAATGAGAAAATGGCACTATGTTAGTGAGGTATCTCCTTAATTATGTGTATGTTATTTGCTTTAACTTTAGCATTACCTAATTACCTTGTTTCTTTGCCTATAAATGTGCTTTAGGTTTTGAGTGAGTTTTAACAATCTGTTGAACGTATTCTTCCCACTGATATTGCACAAATGGAACACAAAGGAAAAACCATTGAATTTGAGGAGACTTCATGGATTATTTTGTTGATTGCTGATAAAATATCAAGACATGACTACCAATTAAAGATTAAGAAAAAAGCAAAAGCTAAGTAATGCTTGTATGATGGTGTTGTCATTATAGTACAAAAGCAAACCATTTATCCTGGGAAGAGGTAAAAAAATCCAAACTATAGCCAAAATAAAAGGCATAATAGAATGCATCCTTGATTGAAATTGGTTCAACAATTTGGCATTTGTTAACAAATTCTTACCCTAGATTTCAACGTGTCATTGTCGTTTGTACTCAGAAATATTTCACAGGTTTTCCCTTCGTCCCAATTACTTTGGCCTTGTTGTTCTTTTAATCAATTTAGAAATAAACACAAACAGAATAAAGAGAGGGAGAGCAGGGATAAGATATGGACGACTTACTATCATATGAAAAGGAAACCACGAACTTTTGAAAATGCTTGAGACTTAGGCTTCTTGCAGACTATTATATGTTCCTAGTTTGTAAGAAAGAAAAAAGACCTTTTTTTTCAAATTCTTTGTTTAAAAGTACACAAGTTTGAATTATAAATTATGCAAATATGAAACTTTGTGTATTTTTGCATTCTAATTGCTCATTGTATGCTAATCTTTTTGATCCTATAGATTCTTGAGTGGCTTCGAGCTCAGAGTTGGTGGGACTTCAGTGAAATGGATTTCCTGATGCTTATAACAGCATATGGAAAGAAAGGGGAGTTCAACAAGGCTGAGAAAATTTTAAGCTTTATGAATAAAAAGGGTTATGTACCAAGTGTTGTATCACATACTGCTCTTATGGAAGCATATGGAAGAGGAGGTCGATATAATAATGCTGAAGCCATCTTTAGAAGGATGCAGTCTGCGGGCCCTGAACCTTCTGCTGTGACTTATCAAATAATACTTAAAATACTAGTTGAGGTAGTTTGTTATCAAAACCTTTATCTTTTTAAAACTTTTTTCTTTCTTTACAAAATAAGTTTTATAGATCTGTTAAATAATTATCCGCAATATGCTATTGGCAGATTAACCATTTTTTTTGTCCAGAAATGACACAGTCTATAGTAACTAAGGCATATTTCAAATTGTTCAGTTGTTGGCCTTCTTATTTTCATTATATTTTTTGTCTTTTTTGCTTCTATCTAAGTATCCCTCTTTTAATATCTTGTTAGGGAAACAAATTTAAGGAAGCAGAAGAAGTTTTTGAGACACTTCTGGATAAGGAAAAATCTCCATTGAAGCCAGACCAAAAAATGTTCCACATGATGATTTATATGTATAAGAAGGCAGGGAGTTATGAGAAGGCTCGTAAAATCTTTGCACTCATGGCTGAACGAGGAGTTAAGCAATCCACGGTCACTTACAATAGTCTTATGACATTTGAAACTAATTACAAGGAAGTTTCAAAGATCTATGATCAGGTATAATGTTTACTCATTGTTGACCAACTTTTCATGTTTCTGCCTTATAGCATGTGGATGTTGCTATGCTTTTATTGAAAGAAATTCTTTTGTGGAAACCATTAGGTGCACCTAATGTTCTTCTGCCCACTGTTCAAAGAGGAACTATGGAAAGATTCTTGAATTTTCTAAGGTCCTTTTTGTGTGTCCAGCTTTTTTGGATGAATTATTCTGTTGATGTAATTTTGTTTAACATCCCAAGAAATAATGTTGTTATCTATCATTTGACTGATGCTAATATCATAAAGTTCCATTTGTATTTTTCTATATCGTCCTTTATATTTTCAGATTTTCATATCATCCTCCTTTATCTACCATATCCTTGATATTCCATTTATAACAATATATGAATGAGGTTTTTTAGTGGTGATCTCAATTGAGGTAGTATATAAATCTTATTGATCTTCTTGGTTGATAAATTATGTTTAATCATTGATCCTATGGTAATGTTTCCTTGTACTTCAGAGGCCAGGTTCTGTTCTTTTGTTACCCGATGTGAGGTTATCCACGTGTAGACACATTTTGAGCTACATGTTAGGGGAGTTTTAGGTGGTGTTATCCTATATCTGTTTAGTCTTGAGTTTCCTGTGGTTTTGTATTCAAGTTGGGCTTCTCTACCATTCCCAATTGGTTTTAGATTGGATGCTTAACATATGAAAAGCTTAAAAAATTGAATGATTAAAGGATACATAAGTAAACTATTAATTGTTAGTATTAGTTATGAGAAAATTTTTCACTTTTGATAGTTTAGAAAAAAAAAAGACAATTATGAACTTTATATAGATTTATCTATAGTAATTACTCAAGCAATTTAAATTAAAAATCATTGCAATTAGTAATTGAATATTTTAATGTTCAATATTATTGTAAATTAGTACTTGAAAATTTAGGTTATTTACTTCCTCCTTTTGGATGGACTTATCCATTCCCACTTGAGTAGAAAAAAGGGTTCAAAGCCGAGGCTTAGCCCCGTTGGTTTATGCAACCATCCTTAAGAAGTGGCATCCATTAAGTCTAGGGTTCAAATCCCAGCACATGCAATCCCTTTCCCTATCCCTAAGCTGCGGCCTCCTTTGTATAAAAAAAGGGGGTTCAACTAGTGAAGCAGGTATATTTGGCATCATTCCTTTTTTTTAAATGCTGTCAACAGCTAATCATATCATTTTATGCATTTTATATGTTATGTTTTAGTACTAGAAGATGCAGCATAAACCATCTGTTTTTCAAAGTGGTGTTGATGTTTTATTTATTTGTTGGTTTTGACATTCATGGATAATATGCATTTTGATGTATCAAACATGCGTAGCACTTGCAAAATGCCCGTACAGGTAGTCAGATTTCTTTGTAAAATATATTAGAATAGTCATATCTATTATGTATGCATGCTGAAATAGTCCCATGTATCCTCATGTAAAAAAAGCTCATTTCCCCAATATCCTATGGTTTGTTGTACTTACGTAGTAGAAAAATACAAAAAAAGGTTTAGAGTGGTAAATAATTTAATTTTTCTGGTAAACTTTTGGACTTAACATGCATTTGCAAGAGCCTTGCAAACAACTAAACACCGAACTGTTTCATGTCCTCATACCAGTGTCTATTTTTTTCGAGTTTCTTGATTTTTCTCTTTCAATCTTTTGTTGATAATAATTTTGTAATGCTTTGAAGTATTGGCATTTTAGATGCAAAGAGCTGGTCTTCGGCCAGATGTGGTGAGTTATGCCTTGCTTATTAATGCTTATGGCAAAGCTAGGAGAGAAGAGGAAGCTTTGGCTGTTTTTGAGGAGATGCTGGATGCTGGAATCAGGTTTATACTTTGAACTTATATAACCAATTTAGAGCCCACTGTGCTTCAATATGAAGCTAATGTAGTCAGTTGAGCAGTTTTGCTCTTTTTTTAATTATAGAATCAATTTTTATCAACAGCCAAGTCACTTGAAAAATAAAACAGAAAGTAAATTCAGCAAATAGACATGCTAATTTTCTTATTTGACATATATATATATATATATACATATTTATTTGTATGTATAAAATTATAAATCATGTCTGAACAGTTTGGCCTTAATAAGTGACCTTCATTAATTTGGTTGTTAACACTCCATTAGAGGGTACCAAAAAAAAAAAAAAACATTTTGAGTCCTTAAAAGGTTGGTGCAAAGTAGTTTTTTGCATCTTAGATTTATTCAAGTAATAATGGTTTTAGGTTTTAGGGATAGTTCATTGGGCTGGTTAAATTCCACTAGGATGATTGAAGTAGTAATTAGATGTGAGGCAAACCAAAGATGTCTTATTTTCTGATCTTTCATTTTTGCGTATCCCAGCTTTAGCCATAATAGAAGAATTGTGTAATCATTCATTGTATGTGCAAGAAATAATACTGGATTCATATCCGATGGCTTCAGTGTGCATCCTCATGAATATGGATACAATACTAATATCATGCAAGTGGACAGGATAAAGTTGATGTTGGTGGCATAATGCCAACTTCACCATTTGACTAGCATGTAATAGCAAACCATCATCGTTGTCATCATCATCATCATTTGTTAATTGACTGTTAAATTTGTGGCTAGCCATTGGACAGCTATATGTTCTTTCTGTCGAAGTTGATGCCCGATCATTTTGGGAAGGTCTCAATTGCTATCATATTCTGCCTCTTTTTCAGGCCTACCCATAAATCTTATAATATTTTGCTTGATGCATTTGCAATTTCGGGAATGGTGGAGCAAGCTCGGACTGTTTTCAAAAGCATGAGAAGAGATAGGTAAAGTGTTCTAATCTGAAAGTCAAGCTGCTATGAGGATTTTTGCAAATGCAGGGTTTCTGGTTCCTATGTTTAGGTATCTTATTTTAGTTTGTTCCATCAAAGCTTTATATCCTTTCCTAAAAAAAGGTAATTTTAGATGTGAGCCTATCTTAAAGAATGTGATTTGATGATATTTCAACATTGACTTAGTTTACAGCCACATACTCAACCCAATATAATGGGAAGGGGGATGGGGTTAGTAAATTTCTTCTTATTATGTAGTTCCTGACACATTGCATTATTTCCGTGGAGATCCTTTCTTTTACTTTTCAATACACCTTTAATCACCATTAAATTGTTTGAGGTCCATAATCCATGTTTGGATCTCACACATTTGAATAGTGATTAAAAGAGTATTTGAAAGAAACAAAAAATAAATTGGTACACCTAGACCTGCATTATTTGTATTGTTCACTATTGCATGTATAAGGGAGTTGCTACAACGCTATTCAATTTCATTACATTACCGTTCTTTTAAGTCCATGTCATCCATGCCATCCAAGTCTTCAATACTATTTGCCCTGGTACATTGTAAAAAATGATATTATCTGATCATACAAATCTTTTTCTCGTGTGATTCTGCTTTAAAAAGCTGTTCACCAATATCCTTGGTTTTTGTAAATATTAAATTTCTTTACATTTGAGCAAAAAAATTTATTATTGCATTCATCCTAAATCAGATTAAGCCATGTTTCTTTGATTTCTTCTTTCCATGGCAAGCAACTATTTCAACTTTTCTTGTCTTGTTTCCTCTGCTTTTAGTTTATCTTCTTATTAATGTTCACTGTATTTTTCTCACCCAGTTTTTAGCAAAGTAATATCCATCACATTCGAAACTTTTATTTTCAACACTAGTTAGAGAATATCCTATCATTTTTATCTAATAGAGCTTGTAACAAATGTCAGTTTCACTCCTTCTGATTGTCTGTTAGGACAACTGAGTTTAAGGTGGTTTACTAGTGGCTTTTATCCTTATGAAGCACTAACATATGCGATTGATGCAATGCCCAAACATCTACATTAACTTTTTGTTTGTTTTTTTTTTTTTTTTTTGCAGATACACCCCTGATATCTGCTCTTATACAACTATGTTATCTGCTTATGTCAATGCGTCTGATATGGAAGGTGCTGAAAATTTCTTCACTAGACTGAAACAAGATGGCCTTCAACCCAATATTGTCACGTATGGGACATTGATGAAAGGGTATGCCAAGGTAAACAATCTTGAAAAGATGATGGAGACTTATGAACAAATGCAATTAAGTGGTATCAAAGCAAATCAAACCATCTTCACGACTCTCATGGATGCATTTGGGAAGAACAGGGATTTCGGTAGTGCTGTTGTTTGGTTTAAAGAAATGGAATCTCATGGTGTTCCACCTGACAGGAAAGCGAAAAACATTCTCTTGTCCTTAGCAAAAACTGCAGATGAACAAAAGGAGGCTAACCAACTTGTGGGATGTATGGAGACTAAGTTGAATGGATTTTCTAGGTTTCTTGATGAAGAAGATTATGATGATATAGAGGGGGAGACTGAATCTTATGAAAAAATGGGTCAACTATAGTTTTCAGTAGTGATTGTTATCAAGAAAAGCAATATGTACATACTAGGCTACTCTTTGATTTGTAAAGCCTGGAATTTTGTGTTCTGGTTGGGTTCCTCGGCCACGAAAATGTATCACTGAGTTAAAATCGGTAGAGTTTGGCTGGACCTGGGAGCAACAATTTATTAATTAAAATATCACTGAGTACAATTAATTTCAGTAGTCAATTCACGAAAATGAACTCAGTGATAAGTTTGGTAACTGTTTTTATCATAATTGAGTACAATTAGAGATATTAACCCAATAGAAAAACAGTTACCAAACTTATCGATTAGTTGAACAATTTCATCCTAATGAAGCAAAACGTAAAACGTGATTAACGAAATATCTCTAAATGATGGATGCATACATCCCAACGGAATCTTGGAGAAAGATGTCTCTCATACATTTGTCACCAACTGTAATCTCTCCTCAGTGGCTGATTTCTTCAAGCGGTCAGCAGCTTTTTCAACCTTCAAAACGGTTAGGTTTAGTAATAACTAACAAATAAAATTAGCTAAAATCCACTATTACAGAAAATTAAATTACCTCCTCATTCCAGTTTGTTCTGACAGTGAGAATGATTAGAGTTGCTGTTTGTAGAAGGACCCCAATAATCATCCCCCACCAGATACCCTAAACAACAGTGTCAAAAGACATTCTCAATATTTATAGACAAAATTATCAAAGTAAATGGAGAAAAGAGAGATTGAAGAATCACTTACTGCCACTCCTAAACTAGTTTTGAAGCCAAGGAGGCATCCAATTGGAAGACCGATAATATAATATGTGGTCAGGTTGACATAAGCTACAATATGTTGCCACCCACTCCCAATCGCCACTCCTGCAATTGAGAAATTCCCAGGATGGTCATGAAAAATATATTTAGAAATAAGCATGTTGAAGTGGCTGGTTATTATCAGAAAAGAAGCTTTTACCAACAAATATTTTCACCCATAAAAGCTATAATTACCGACGAAAAATCCATGATATTAAGCTAGTCGGTAATTTTATTCCGTGAGTAATTAAAAAAAAATCCGTCGATTATTCGTGAGTGGTCTATAGCTAGCAAACTAATTTGGGAAGAAACATGTCACCTGAGAGTATGGGCTGAACGCCATTCAAGAAAACGGAGATGGCAAGCAGTGGAGTCAAATTGGAAACTGCATTTATGACCTCGGCATCGCTTGTGAAAGCTTTACTTAATCCAACTCGAAATATCAAAACAATTGCACTGAAAACTATACTAATGGAAATGCTTGCGGCATTCACCACTATAACTGAAAATCTGGTAAGCCTTGGATGACCTGCTCCTAGCTCATTACTCACTCGAACACTGTCAAATAAATGATATAATTGATTAGAAATGACAGATCAATTTCTTGAGGTAATGTTGGCGGTTTAAAATGTGGCGCATCCACATTTGATAAAAAAAATTTAATTAGTGATAAACAAAATTAATTTTTATATTAATTTTATTTATATTTTAAATATTTATATTTGAATATAAATAATTATTATATATCAAATGATCATAATTATTTAAATATAAATAAATTATTATTTATAAAAATGATAATTATACAAAAAATCATAATAATTTGAATAAAAATTTATGTTTATTCATTTATTATAAATAAATATTTCAACATAATCACTTTTACTGATATATCTTAAAGACATAATTGTTTTTAAGGTTCTTCACCAAAACCAAAATTCTTTTACATTATTTCTCTTTTTTTTTTTTTTACTTTTTTTTTCAAACAAGTAATGCCAAAACAAACATTTAGTGCTATACCAACCTGGCTGCTGCGCTGAGGCCTAAAACAAAGCAGATATCCCAGTTCCAGTAATTCATGCTGAAAATGACAATGCATGAACGGCTTTAACTGTTACGACTTCTAATAAAAATATATCCGTATCTAATGAGAAGAGCCAGCAGGCCTTAACATACCAAATGGAAATGGAGTCCAGTGAGATTGTAGGGTTAGGAAGAAGACCAGATATGAGCACCAGTCCTTGGTTGTACCATATTTCCAAGCTGCATCGCCAAGGTACGAGGTTGAGACTAGTGGTTCAAAATAAAGCTAGCTATATGTCGAATATAGACATACCAAAGCATAACAGCAGAAGCCACAGTAAGCTTGAAATAAGGCCAAATTCCATTAAAAGCCTTGACGGATAAGCCGGTCCAAGTTTCCTTGCAAGAAGGACTTAGAACAATGTAAAGCCCGTTCAGAATGACAAGAAACCACCAGGAGAGACTGAGAGTCAGGGATGCTCCAAGAAGGCCGTATCCCCAGACATTAATGGCAAGCCATGTAAGAAGAATGTGCAATAGGAATACCCCAACAGACATAATTGCCAGGGGATTTACTATGTTCTGAGCTTGGAGGAACCTCTGCATGGGACAGCTCAAAGCAAATGCGTAAAGTTGAGGGATCAAACCTCGAGCGAAGACTTGCCCCTGCTTAGCTATGCTTTTAGATTGGCCAATTGCTTGAAGGATTGCAGCTGAATGCCAGTACACAAATGTGAGGAGAACTGCGGCTCCTAAGTGCAACACAATTGCTCTTTGGCAAATGATCCCCATGGCTGCGTATTTCCTACCCCCGTAAGCTTGGCCGCACACAGTTTGCACCGCGCTGGCCATGCCCAACTGTTTTTATGGAGAGAAAAACAACTTCTCAGTACTTCGGTGTATGAGAATTGAGAAAACTAGAAATTTTGATTAAAAAAAAAAAAAAAAAAACTACTAGGTAACTAAAACAATGGAGTAAATGTCACTTGTGCTTTTTAAAGTTTAGATCATACATCATATTAATTTTTTCCAAAGGAAATCGTAAAGTAAGAATAAGTTAAAAAAGTATCCTAGTGCAAAAGCTAGATCGCCTTTGGATGTTAGAATTTAAATCTTATATATGCTGAATAAAATCTTTAAAATTGGTTGCATAAATGAATTTTGTTATGGTTCATGTTCAAATTGATTCTTACAATTTGAAATGTCAATTATTAATTTTCAAACCTCTAATGTTATAATTGAAATTTAATTTTGATAAAAAATGAGTAAAGTAAAGCATTGAATTTTAAGTTTCGGCCATGATTCTAATCTTAATACTTCAAATATATAAAAAAAAAAAATTAATTTCTCTGATTTTTTTGTTTAATTTTCATTTTTTTTATCTTAAGATTTTGATGTTTAAAAATTTTATGTGAAACTTTTTTCTTTAATTAATCTTAACTATATTATACTACTATTATTAAATTGAATAAAGAATTTTGAAAATGCTTTGTTGAAGAAATAAAAAAAAAAGGTGCTGAAGATTAAAACCTTTTTACTTTCCTTTTACTTTTTTATAAAAAATTTTAGAATTTTATTTAAAAAATTATGATTTTAAATAATTAAAAACTAAAAAAACAGTATTTGGCATAGATATTTTGTTAATGTATTTATTATTTCTATAATAAAAATCGCAAAAAAAAATTGAAAAAAGTAAGTAACAGAATCAAGCAATGCCGAAAGAGAGGGCAAAACTTTGCTACAGATAAAATAAAACAGTAAAATGAATGAAAATTATTAAAAAATAAAAAATATAATAAAACAATGAAAAGTGGGAAAAAAAATGAAGAGAGGAATTAGTAAAAGAAAATTAAAAAAAAAAGAAAATAGGTTACGTCATAGTTCACGTAATCAAGACAGAAAGTTTCGGAATCTTCGAAAAAGCAATAGCAAATACGATAGGATGATGCAACAAGTACGACTTTTGATGGTCAACATTAAATGTGTCAGCTGTCCGTAGGACAGGTTCGACCGGCCGTTTAAAATATTATAAATGAGCGTGATTTTATATTTAATATATTATTAATATATAAATTTTATATATTATCAATAAATTAGATATTATTATTTTATTAATAAATAAATATTAATTTTAAAATAAATATATAAAAATTAATATTTTTAAAAAAATTTACTTATTAATATTATAATATCATTTAATTCACTTCATTAATAAAATAATATATATTTTTATTGATAATATATAAAATTTATATATTGACAATACATTAAATATAAAATTGATTAATATTTAATATAAAATTTTAATTACATAAATAGAATAAGTTGAATTATACATATTTTATTTTTTAATTAATTTTTTCATTTTTTAAAAATTATTTATAATTAACTTTAAAAAATTTTAAATTAGGGTTTCATTTTCAAAGTAGAATCCTATCATATGAGTAATTTTAAAAATGAAACCCTAAATTAAAGAGAGTTTAATTATATATATTAATATAAATATTAACATATAAAAATTTATACAAATATAAATATCATTAGATTATTCATTTTTAATTAGAATTTTGGATTGATTTTGAAAAAATAGGAAACCAAACTAAAACTAAAATTTTAATTCAGTTTGATTTTTAAACCAAACCAAAGTGTTTTACATTAGTGTAAATTATTTTTTCCTCTTTAAAATATATATAAAATAAATTTAACTTACAAAACTAAATTAAAAATTAAAAATTGAAACTTTTAACTGAAAGTACTAGTCAACTACAAAACATTTTACTCTTTTTTAGTTTTTTTTTTTTCGAAAAAGAAATTTGTAAATTGTAAGGTTATACTTTGTTTGTAAGTTATTTTTAGTTTTTTAGTCATTAAAAATATTTTAAATATATTATTTTAATTAAATGATATAATAACCAATAAATTTAATTAAAAATTAAATTAATCATGATTTTAAAATCATTTGACTAACATAAGTCAAACCCACTCATTTCACCGGATTAATAATAAAAGTATAAAACTGTCCATAACCAATAATCCAATCCGAGTTAAATGCGTGAACAGTCTAATAACAAAATTAAATCGATTCGATCGTTGGGTCACCAACTTAATCGATCCAATGATGGTGTGAATGTGATATAGTTCTAATAATTATAATTTGTTCTCATCTTAATTATTATTTATTTTATTTTGAATTTTGTTAATGAGTGTCTTAAAAATACTCCTTAAAATTAATTAAAATATTATTTATAATAATAATTTTATATCAAATGTGATAGTTAATATTTTGAATTTAAATTTATTAAAAAATAAATTATTTAATAAAGTAACTTGAAAGAGTGCCCTTAAGACGCTCGTAAGTAACTTTTTATCTCATTTTACATTGCAAAAATTTATTAGATAGATTTGAAGAAAGTTTTTTGGCCAACGAAAAATTTGAAGATGAGATATATTAGTTCATGAATAAATTTGAAAATGAAAATGAACCATTTTAAAAAGTTAAAAATTTAAATGAAAAAGTTGATAAGTTAAAGAACAAAGTACCATAATCCCGTAAGCAAGACCCTGAATTCCCACACTAGCTATAGAAGCTCCAGCCAGCTCCAATGCGCCAAGATGACCGGAGAACATTAAGGTCACGAAACTCAACATGTAATTGAATACGGAGACAATTATAGATGCCGCAGACAGCCCCCAAAGAAGCCTTGACTCCCATGCTACAACCCTCGCCCACCATCCCACTCCCTCAACCGCCACTCTATTTCCCAAAACCTCTTCAATTCCATCGGACGACAACTCAGAAATATGTAGCAATGGCTGCCGCTCCACTGACCCCATGCGCTGCTTAGTCTCCTCTAGTTTATGAAAACTTCTTGCTGTTTTTTCTTCCTTCACAATGGTAGAACCTGATATCTATTTATAGCATATACATTGGTTAATATTTTAAATGATAGTGAAATTTTTAATATAATATTTGAATTATAAGTATATTAATTAATATAATATTTATTTCTATTGTGATGAGTTTGAAATGATAATATGTTACGGATAAATAATTTTTTAAATATTATTTTAATTAATAAATTATTAAAATTTAAATATTATATTAAATATTTTATTATAATTTAAGAATCATTTATGACATTATTCATATATGTATATTTATATATCACATATTTGCATGGTTCCTTGAAACTCATTGGGAAGGGCAAATATTTCAGTTCGCCCACCAACTGATTGGTCCTTATGTTTATCTACCAGTCGTTTAGCAAAGAAGGGCAGATACATTTGAACCAAAAAGGTTAATTAAAAAATCTCAAGTAGATTATTCACTGAATCTAAACAATTCTTATTAGGCAGGTTAGGTTCCGGAATATCAAGAATTATAGACTCTTCTTTTTATAACTTTTTCAACAAAATAAATCTGTAAATTCAGCTAAGATTCCTCCATGTTGAGCCAATTGCTTATAAGATCAGTGTCCTCCTATATATATATATATATATAAAGATAAAAGTAATTAAAAATGACTTTGCACTAGTTTAGAGACGACGCATGGCTAGGTTTAACTTTCTGTCACAGTTATCAGCTGGACCACAAGTAAACTAAAAGAGAAAGTTGTGTTTGGTGAAGTAGTAAAGCGAAAGGATAGATAGGAAATGAAAAAAAAATTGAAAAGAAAAAGAATTGAGTGGGCTTAAAGGAGAGGAAAGTGAGAGGAAAGAAAAAAAAATATTATCATTTTTCATCTGTATTTATAAAAATAAATTACTTCAAATTGAAAATATAAGAGAAGAAAAAATGAGAGAGATCTGAGTTAAATATGCATGTCTACAATATTTATGTGAATGAAAATAAGTACAAAAAAAAAAAAAAAAGAAAAGACAAGAATATAAAGAAATACGTGATTTAGTCAAGTGGTCTACGTCCATAGGAGAAAGACTAAAGAGTTAGATTGATAATATAACTTGTATGAAGAGCAAAAGAAATCTATTTAGATTGATAATATAACTTGTATGAAGAGCAAAAGAAATCTATTTATATAGGTGATGTGAATAATGTCTAAAAAATAATAATGAGAAAACTATTAAGAAATAAGGTTTATTATAATTGATTTTAGACATATTTTTAAATTAATAAATAGTTGTTCATTAATTACCAGAATCATCTCATAATTATTTTTAGAAAAATTTTAAAAAAGTTTATACTTCCCAACACGTCTCCTTCAAAGTTGGCACATGAAAGATTAATTAGAGTAGCTAGGATGAAGAAAGTTTCAAAAATCAACAGCTAATGATCTTTAAGGAATGATCACTGAAGAAAGAAAGGTTGTGAAAAGTGGGCTCCACTTGTTTTGAATTGACGTGAAGGAGGAGATGCTGAACCTTCGTAGAAATGGTCTTGCAAAATAAATATATGAGTTTCCCTGAATTGAATGTTTGGGAGGTTGAATCAAATGGACATTAGACAAGGTAATACGTGTGCCAATAGAAAAAGAACTCATTGAATTTTAAAGGTAATAGGATCTAACCCGCTCTAGTGTCATAAATATTTTAAAGAGAAAATGAATTTTATGAACGATGACTTTTTAGGGTTAGGTGTTTGGGGATGCGTGTCAATTATTAAAAAAGAAAAAAAAAAGGTAAATAAGTTATTTTGGTCATTGGAGTTTATTGTTGCACCTGAAACAATAATCACAATAATATAAAAGTAATAGACAATAATCAATAATCAAATACGTAGGAAAAATAAAGCACATCAAGATTTACGTGAAAAACCCTCCAGTGTAGAGGGAAAAAATCACGGGCCACCAGAAAAATCTTCACTATCAAATAATAGTTATACAAAGTTCTTCTCTAGCTAAAACTAGAGCTAATCAACAACTAGAGAAACAATTGGAGAAATCTCACCAAATAAGTGACTCAACAAATACACCATGGATTTGTTCCTAAAGAGCTTCAAACTCGATCTTCACTGTTCAGAATGTAAAACTCTGAATCATAAACCTCCTGACAAGGTTCCAACTCAATCGAACTACGGATTGATTTCCGTTCAACCAACTCTCCCTTCTCCTTTTTCTCTTTCTGCTTTTCTTGGCTTTTCTTCTTTCTCTGCTTGGTTTTCGACACACACCTAAAACAACCCCACCTCTTTTTTATTAAGTAGCTAGGGCTCTGTGTAAAATAAAAGATCAAGGCCCATGGCCTTTACTTGATCCAAAACCACTTACATGGGACTGGACCTCATTTTTCTAACAATCTCCCCCTCCAGCCCCATTAGGAGGAGATTCATCACCATAGCAGTTTCATTTGGAACTTACCTTGGCCAGGGAACTCATTCCGGTCAAGTTACTGCAAAGCTCAAGCTTTTTCCTGGAAAGTATCTTAGTCAACATATCTGCCACATTTTTATCAGTATGAACTTTTTTCAATAGCATCTGCTGTTTTTCAATCACTGAACGTAACCAATGATATCTAACATCAATGTGCTTTGTTCTAGCATGGTACATAGTATTCTTACTCAAATCTAAAGCACTCTGGCTATCACAAAATATCACATACTCTTTCTGATTTAACCCCAATTCAAGAAGAAAACGTTTCATCCAAAGCATTTCTTTACATGCTTCAGTTGCTGCAATATACTCAGCTTCTGTAGTTGACAAAGCAACACACTTCTGCAACTTAGATTGCCAAGATACAGCTCCTCCTGCAAAAGTGAACAAATACCCTTGAAGTAGATTTCCTACCATCAAGATCGCCTACCATGTCAGCATCAGTAAACCCTTCTAGAATTGGTTGTGAAACTCCATAAGTCAAACACATTTTTGAGGTACCCCTCAAATATCTAAAAATCCATTTTACTGCTTCCCAGTGAACCTTCCCTGGATTAGAAAGAAATCTGCTCACTACACCAACTGCATGAACAATGTCAGGCCTTGTACAAACCATAAGATACATTAAAGAACCGACTGCAGAAGAATAAGAAATACTAGACATAGCTAGTTGCTCTTCCTTAGACACTGGAAAAGATTTCTTACTTAGATGAAAATGGTTGGCAAGTGAACTGCTAACTGATTTAGCATGTTGCATGTTGAATCTACTAAGCACTCGTTCAACATACTTTTCCTGTGACAACCATATCTTTTTAACTCTCCTATCTCGGATAATGTCCATATCAAGAATCTGCTTTGCTGGACCTAAATCCTTCATATCAAAGGACTTAGACAATTGTTCTTTCAACCTGCAAACCATACTAGCATCTTGTCCTACAATCAACATATCATCAACATATAATAATAGGATAATGAAGTTACCATTAGGGAATTGTTTAACATACACACAAGAATTCGCTGCTATTCTTTTTTAGCTATGACTCACCATAAAAATCAAACTTCTTGTACCACTGTCGTAGAGCTTGTTTCAAGCCATACAAGCTTTTTCTTCAATTTGCAAACTAAGTGCTCTTTCCCTCTCACTTCAAAACCTCAGGCTAATTCATATAAATGTTCCTCCTGTAAATCACCATGCAAAAATGCAGTTTTAACATCAAGTTGCTCAAGCTCAAGATTCAAACTAGCTGTCCAATCCAGTACCACTCGAATAGAACTCATTTTTACAACTGGAGCAAAAATCTCATCAAAATCGATGCCTGGTTTTTGAGAAAAACCTTTTACTACCAATCGAGCTTTGTACCTCATAGTTGTCACCATCTTTTTTCAACTTGAACACCCATTTATTCTTTAATGGCTTCTTCCCTGTTGGAAGTTTAACAAGATCATAAGTACCATTCTTTCGCAATGACTCCATCTCTTCTTTTATTATTTTTAACCAGTGCTCTCTATCCGGAGTAGCTGCACATCTTGAAAGCTTTCTGGCTCCCCTTCACTGTAACTAAATAAAATCTGAACTTGGAGTTCTTGGTAGATAGCCTGCGCTCTTAGTAGATCTCCTGGCTGAGACTCTACATCACTTGATGCTGAAGGTAGCTCCCCCTGCTCAACACTCTCAGGTAGAGAGGATTGCTCCCCCTGCTCAAAACTAATAGCATCTGGCTCATCACCAACTGTAGGCTGGCTCATTCATATCCCCAAGTTCTGTTTCTGGCTCATTTTCACCATCTGTGGCTCTTTCCTGTGAAATCCCTGTCGGTGTTGAAACATCACACTCAACAGTAACTCGTGTAGTCTTCTCATTTTTCTCAAGGTCTGCTATGGTTTCTTTTTCATGAAAGACCACATCTCTGCTTCTGACTGTCTTTCTCTTTACTGGATCCCATACCCTGTAGCCAAATTCCTCATCACCATATCCTACAAACACACACTGTGTAGCTTTACTATCAAGCTTTGACCTCTGCTCTTTTGGTACATGCATGAATGCTTTACACCCAAAAACTTTCAAGTGAGAGTATGAAGCATCTTTTCCTGTCCACACTCTTTCTGGAATGTCAAAGCCCAAAGGAACTGATGGTGACCTGTTAAGTAAATAACAAGCTGTGTTGACTGCTTCACCCCAGAATGGCTTTGGTAATTTTGCCATCCTCAACATACATCTGACTTTTTCCACAATGGTGCGATTCATTCTTTCAGCTATACCATTATGCTGCGGTGTTCCAGGTTCTGTCCTCTCATGCCTGATCCCATGCTTTGAGCAATACTCTTCAAAGCTTTTAGATGTGTATTCCCCACCATTATCAGTTCGAATACACTTCAAGGGTAACCCTGTCATCCTTTCAACCATGGCATGAAATTTTTGAAAATACTGCAGTACCTGACTTTTATATTTCAACATATACACCCAAGTCTTACGTGAAGCATCATCAATAAAAGTAACAAAATATCTGCTACC